AGGATCCATACCTTTCATCAAATTCCCAGAGCGGGTGAAGACCTATTTCCTAAGTCTCACTCACACCTCCAAGGAGTGTGGAACAAACACTTCCTGAACAACCATTTGCTACATGGATTAACAAATTAAGGAAAAGAAGTAAACAGGAAGCAGACTTTTAAGCATGGGTCTATTTACTTCACTGGTCTTAGTGAAAGCCTTTGGAGTCCTCCCACGTGGTCAAATTCTTCTTCTCAGTTAGAGGATCCCTTAAGTCAACACTCACAGGCCAAATCTTAAAAAGTGGCAACGTGACACAAGTTTTGGACTGGAAACCGGGAGACCTGAATTCTGATTCAAGTGGTTACTAATCAGTCAGAGTGGCCTTGCGCAAGTCCCTAAAGGCAAGGTGGTTTGTGACTGTTCTTAAACGTATTCTGCCACAGCCAAATGACAGATGATTGTCCCATAGGGAAACAAGGAGTACTTTTAAAACAATTTTTTTTAATTTTTTAATGTTTATTTATTTTTGAGAGAGAGAGACAGAGCACGAGTGGGGGAGGGGAAGAGAGAGAGGGAGACACAGAATCCAAAGCAGGCTCCAGGCTCTGAGCTGTCAGCACAGAGCCCGATGCAGGGCTCGAACCCACAAACTGTGAGATCATGACCTGAGCCCAAGTCAGACACCCAACCGACTGAGCCACCCAGGCTCCCCTTTTAAAATTTTTTTTTAATGTTTATTTATTTTTGAGGGAGAGAGACAGAGCGCGAGTGGAGGAAGGGCAGAGAGAGAGAGGGAGCCACAGAATCTGAAACAGGCTCCGGGCTCTGAGCTGTCAGCACAGAACCCACCATGGGGCTCAAACTGGCCAACGGCGAGTTTGACCTAGGCCGAAGTCGGACACTTAACCAACCGAGCCGCCCAGGTGCCCCTAAGTACTTGTTAATGTATTCAAAAGTAAAATGTGACAATAATTCATAAACGCTATGCATATATTAACAGCATATTCCAGAACATTCTTTATAACACCACACACCCCCATCTTTCCATGCCCCTATACTCCTCACCCACTTGTAGCCTCCCTTTCATTTCCACCCAAGAAAGCATATAAGCAGGCGAACCACAGCAATTCCTCCTAATTTAATCTAAAAGTTCGTTGTTTCCAGACACGAGCGCTTTGACGAGTGTATGTTACAAACTCCTCTGACATATCTCCGGGCAGATCATAAGCATATTGAGCTCAAGGACCACAGCGGAGGTGGGGAGACCCCCTGCTTTACCATCACATCAATTGGAAAGCAAATCTTAACTCTGCTAACGGGCTGTGTGACTTTGGGAAGTTTAATGACTTCTCTGAGCCCCTATTGCTCCAACTGAAAAAATAGAGATGATACCCCTTATTCACAGGGTTGTGGGGATTAACAAGGTGGAAAGGGCTTTGTAGCCCTGTGCTCAGCTTATGATAATTTTAATGCCTGTCTCGTCCTGATTCCCCTCTTGGACCCCAGGTTCATAGTCATCAGGAGGAGAGGATCAGATTAGACCTATGTTGGTTCCCCTCACCTCCTACCTTTAGCTTAGCTACCAGGTACCTTGGAAGGAAATTCTTATTAAGAAGAAGAAAAAACACAGAAACCTTGTTAGTAAAATAATGCCTCAAAGATTTGCAACGTAAGTATCAGCTAATGTTATCAAGAGAAACCTGTTTGCTGTCGCTTCTCTGAAGGACAGGAAATATCAGCCTTCATTCGCCCCTCTAGCAGCCACAAAGGGAAAACTGTAGGGAGTGGTGCATCCAGGCCTTCCATACTCTGCAGAATTAGGTGGCATTGGGTGCTTCTCAGATTCAGGGACTGGCGGGGCACCTGGGTGGCTCAGCTGGTTGGGCATCTGACTTCAGCTCACGTCATGATCTCATGGTTTGTGAGTTCGAGCCCCAGGTTGGACTCTGTGGCCACGGCCCAGAGCCTGGACCATGCTTTCGATTCTGTGTCTCCCTCTCTCTGCCCCTTCCCCGCACACGCGCACGCTCTCTCTCTCAAAAATAAATAAACATTAAAAAACATTCAAGGGGCGCCTGAGTGGCTCAGTCAGGTAAGCGTCCAACTTCAGCTCAGGTCATGATCTAACAGTTCGTGGGTTCTAGTCCCGCGTCGGGCTCTGTTCTGACAGCTCAGAGCCTGGAGCCTGTTTCAGATTCTGTGTCTCCCTCTCTCTCTGCCCCTCCCCCGTTCACGCTCTGTCTCTGTCTCAAGAATAAATAAACATTAAAAAAAAAATTTTTTTTTAAAACATTCAAATTCAGAGACTGGTACCCTCGTGGGAATGAAGCAGGGCCTAAAGACACAGACACAGAGTGAGCCAGCCTGTCTTCCTAAGACACCAGGCTTCTTCCAATTTTGTTTTTAATTTAATTTTTATTTTTCATGCTTCGTTTTTCAAGCGGCAATATAAAACCTTATTTTTGCTTTCATTAAAACAAACGGAAATATTATGGTGTCACAAGGCTTTTATGAATTCTGAAGATGGGGGGGGAGGGGGTACAATCTAGTCCCATCCTTTACCATGAGAGAGAAGTTTCAGAAACTTGGAACAGGATGATCTCCCTAAGATCTCATGTGGTTGTGTATTTGCATCAGCTCCAGACCTGCCTCAGACTGTCACAGCTTAGCAAAAACAAACAAATAAATTAAAATGTAAAACTAGGGGAGAAAATTCAAGTTCACCTTGAAAAGAATTACCTTCCAAGGCAAGCAAGCCAGGGATAGCCCATGAACTAACAGCTCCCTGCTGTCAGCCTGCAGGGCTGCATGATCCTGGGAGAATGTTCCCAACTTATGCCAAGAACGGAAGGCACTCCCGGACATGCCCTGGGCTGAGGCAAGTGCTCCTATGATAGATGTTAAAGGCAGGGAGGGAATGGACCAGCCATTCTTCTTGTGTGTGAAAGGAAACCCGGAAACTGTAAACGTTCCCATAAAAGAAAGCTCAAAAGTCAACCGAGCATCAAGAAGGACAAAATTCTTGACATTTCTGGGCACTGCTCGCATTTTGAAAGCAATTCATTTTAACATATAGAATTGAGGAAGTGCTGGCAAGTGCCAACCAGAAGTAAAAGTTACACATAATCCTTGTCTTCGTCAGGTGGGGCTGCTCTAACGGAGTATCAGATCCTGGGTTGGTTGTAAATGACAGAAATTTATTTCTAACGGTTCCAGAGGCCGGGAAGCCCAACGTCAAGGTGTCAGCAGATTTGATGTCAGGTGATGGGCCACCTCCTGGTTCATGGGTGTCATCTTTTTGCTGTGTCATCAACGATGGAAGGGGAGAGAGCTCTCTGGGCATCAACCCCATTCACGAGGGCTCTGTCCTCATGATGCAATCTTCTCCCAAAGGCCCCATCAGTGAGGGGGGGGGGGTAGGATTTCAACATATGAATTTTGAGGGAACACAAACATTTGTTTCATAAAATCTGCCTTCCCCGAGATAATAAGTGAATAACTGTTACCACTTTTGTATAGCTTTTCATCGATGCATGTTCTTTGCATTTGCAATTGTCCTATAAGCAATGTTTTGTAGGCTTTTCTATCACTAAACATTAAATTATCAGCATTTCCCCCGTGTAATTATTCTGCAAAATTATGGTTTCTATAAGTCATTATATTTCATTGAATATAATATACACATTCAATACACATACAGACCTTCCTCCACTTACGTTAGGGTCGCATCTTGATAAACCCATTGCGACTTGAAAATACAAGTCGAAGTGTATTTAATGTGCCTGACCTACTGAGCCCCACAGCTCAGCCCAACCCATTCTAAATGTGCTCAGAATGCTTACATTAGCCTACAGTTGGGCAAAATGATCTAACGCAAAGTCTATTTTTTTGGAAAGGGGTAAATGTCTCGTGTCGCTTACTGAAGAGCGTGCTGAAAGTGAAGGACACAATGGCTGTAAGTGTGTGGGTTGTTTGCCCTCACGGTCGCGTGGCTGACGGGACTGTAGCTGCCACCAGTTTCCAGCATCACAAGAATCATACTGCATACCACTAGTGCAGGGAAAGATCACAATTCAAAATCTGAAGTACCATTTGTAATAAATGCATGTTACTTTTACACCACTGTAAAGTCAAAAAATCGTTAAGTCAAATCACCATAGTTGGGGAACCATCTGTGTAGTCAGACAATATATATGTATATATATGCGTATATATATATATTTTTTCAATTGCACAGTTATGTATACATTTTAATATACGTATCTGTGCATATATGATTAACTAAACAGTGTTATTAATTTATTTCTAATTTTTCACTATTATAAACAATAGGAGCAAAATAGCTCATTTTTATTGTGTTAAATGCTCAGACTGAGCTACCCAGGCGCCCCTTTATTATTAAGTTTCACAACAATGCCATGAGGTGGGTATTATCAGTCCCATTTTATAGATGAGGAAATAGAGGCAGAGAGAAAGAAGTAGATTGTCCCAAGTCACAGGGCTAGTAAGAGACACAGCCAGAATTTAGACCCAGGCAGCCTCTTAACCACTCTGAAATCTGACTGGGTCTCAGTTTCTTTCTCAGTAAAAGGAGACTGTTGTGGCCACTGGTCTATAAGGTCCCTTCCAACGACACATCGCATTTAATCCATTCCATTCCTAGGAGAGATATAACAGTGGGGAAAGCAGAGGTTTTGAAGCCAGGTTAGTCTGAGTGCATAATCCGAGCTCTACTGTCCACCAGCCTGAACTCCTCGCCTTAGGGCCCTCATCCGAGAGGGTGATGGGAGTCCTACTTCATTGGATTGCCCTGAAAAATTAATCAGATGATACCTGCTAAGTGCTTCAATGTTCCACAACGAAAAGTTTAGCTCCACTACTAAAAGACGAGCGGTTTTGCAGTTACCACCATTGAGGTCTTGACAAAGGATGGCGACTTCTATTATTCTAGAAGGTAGAAATGAATTCAGGCAACATTCCAGGAATGGAATTATATTCACATCACACCAGGAACCTCACCTGAATTTTACCATGTACCAGCTGGGACTTGGCAAAGGATATCTCTGGGAAACTTCAGGCCGGATTTGATAATCAGCCCCTCCCCTGCAGACCAGACATGGATGGAAGTGAGTTCTCTGCCCTCCCGGAGCCCAGACTGGCCAGTCGTGGACCCACACAGGGAAACCTGGCCCCTGTGGCTAAGATCCAGGATGAAGTCCTTGCAGAGGGTCCCAGAGAGGCAAGGAGCCCCTGGCCGGGGATATGAGGTTAGGGACAAGGAGGCATCAATCACAACCTATGGCTTCTCAAAGGTCTCCAGAACAACCCAGCCATAGTCTCTATTTCCAAAAAAAGGAGCTTTTATTTGGTTTTACTTCTAACCGGTAAGAGAAATAAAGAGATTTACCATCCCAGGGAGGGCACCAGCCAGGGGTTTATCCAGAAAGTGTCGTAGGATGGTATCATCCATAAGAAACGATGAGGCAAAGGGGCGCCTGGGTAGCTCACTCTGTTAAGAGTCAGACTCTTAATTTCGGCTCAGGTTCTGACCTTGCTGTTTGTGAGTTCGAGCCCCACATCTAGCTCCTCGCTGACAGTGTGGAGCCTCCCTGGGATTCTCTCTGTGCCCCTCCTCTGCTCACTTTTGTGATCTCTCTCTCTCTCTCAAAATAAGTAAGTAGACTTAAAAAAAAAAAAAGAAATGATAAGACATCACTCTCAACATACACGAAACAACACACCCGTTGCTGAACCAACTTACCAACACCTTGTTTTTCTCAATCACTCCGAACCTTCCTGAAAAGGTAGGAGCAGGAGTATTATAGGAGGTTGTAAAACCACTCTGGTTCATGGCCCCAACTTCTCCACCTCGCCCACCTCTCTACTGCTTTCACAAATCTGATAAAAATCCCTTTTTCTTGCTTCCAGTTTCTCATGTTTTCTTCCAACAGAAAAGGCCGTTTCAGAGGTTGGAAAATGGCCAGTTTTACCAAGAACCTCCCCGGCCCTCCCACCCACCTCTGAAAAGAGCTTTTCTGTTTGAAGCCAATGAAGACCCTTCTCCATTTTGGCCCCGAGAAAGAGGGGAGAGGGGTCGGCTGAGGAGAGATGAGAGAACAAACCACACCTGTCAACATCTCCCTGGGGACCCTTCCTCTCTACCGCAGCCTTTGGAGAGGAAAACAAAACTTTTTTGGAAGGCAGTAGAAAGCAACAAAAAGCTCCTTGGAACAGCGCTTTGTTACAAGATTCCTCTAATAATATTAGGACGGGAACCAGATGATACCAGAATGGAATGTTCCATATGTTCTCACACATCCTCCCCGTTTGCAGGAAAGAAAACAAAATGCCCAAAGTATTATTGTTACCACACTTCCTGCCCTCAGTCTACCAAACCTGAACAGGATGGATAGGTTAGGCTTCTAGAGAACCTGATTGTTTTTCATGCAAAACACTTCCGTTGTTTTGTGTGTTTTCGATTTGTTTGTTTCAGCTTACTGTTTGTTAGAGCACAGACTCCTGGATAGATAAACTTTTAAAAACAAACCACAGTACCCACCCTGTTTGTAATCAACTGTTGACTCTGTGAAGTATCTTTTCAGAACCTTCCTGCCAAACCCCTTGTTCTTCAAGCAACATACCTGCGTCTGGGGGAGACATGATTTACTCGGGGTCAGACACGGCCACGATGACCAGGAAAGGGAGATGGCTCCTCAGCAACTGTTGACCAGACCAGGGCTGTGACAATGACCTCGGCCAAGCACAAGCATCCCCCACTCCCTCCACCACCCTCAGAGAGAGTGTTTTTAAAGAATTTGTTATTTTAGATTTCCAAAAGAGCATTAAAAATTCAGAACTACATTGGATTCTTGATTTTTTTTTTTTTTTTTTTTTGCCATACACTGTTTATATTTTGAATTGCAAGTAGGAGAGGGGGAACACATGAGTATTTGGGGCTTAGGGACTCTGCACTGCCCACTGTAGCTTTGCTCTGTGTCACCTCCCCAAGCCCCCCTGCTCGTATCTCAAACATCCACCTCCCTTTCCCCAAAAGTCACATTTGCAACCCACTCGGGCAGCATGATGACTTCCTGTGACATTTTTCCCTTTCAAGAGGCTGCGCGTGATTCTCTCATTGACCTTTAGCTGTTGGAAGCTGGAGGACAGCAAGAGAAGAGGAAGGTACATGGATTTCCCCTAGTTGCCCCGAGTGGGAGGGGATTAGAATTAATTCCACACAGAGAGAAATGAAAGCTAGGCCAGGCTCACTGGCTTCCCTTCTCCCATTGCACAGATGAGGCAACTAAAACCCAAGGGAAGGACTCAAATGCCCTGGCGGCAGTCCAGACCCAATCCAGGACTCTGCAGTCCTGCATCAGTGCTGTGCCCACCTCAAACCCCAGGCAGCTGAATAGAACACCTGCTCCATGGACTCTAACGTCTTTTGAAGGGTAAGTAACCTTTGAAATAAATAACTGGAGTTAAGGTTAAGCAATAGCTCTCAGGTAGAAATTTTAGACTCCAACAAAGACAGAGAGAGAGAGAGAGAGAGAGAGAGAGAGAGAGAGAGAGAGAGAAATTTAGAGGCAAGGCTAGTGGAGCCCTGTCAATCATATTGTGAGCATGTTGGGTAGAGGCCAGAGGGGCTCTTCTGAAGTAAGCATCTTTGCCCATATTCCTTACCCCATCCCCTCTGAACCTACCTAACTTGGGAGAGAAAGTTCCTTGACACGGTATTGATACATAAAACCGTCTCCTCCAATGGTGCTGGTAAGAATAACAAGCCCAGCCCCTTAACCTCCTCCTGTTCCCCCTCCATGCCCCCTCCCCTGGTGCTGTGTGAGGATTTCCTGTAAACAACACCATCCGTGAGGGGATGACCCAGGAGAATGGCTGACAAGATGTGTCCTGAGGCCTTTTGAAGGTTGTCACACCCATTAGCTGGTTACCTTCTGCCAGGTTCCCAATTCCTGTGCCGGCCCCACCCCCAGCTCCAGGATCGGTCTTCCCCTTTCGACACACAGGCCCAGAAGGATCCAAAAAGGATTCTCTTTAGTTCCTTTCAGCACAGCTAAAACCAAGTAGCATTGTCGCTTACAAAGAAAACAATAAAAACCTTTGGAATACCATGGAGAAGCAAAAAAGAAAGAACTCCCCAAAATACAGAGTAACTATCACCACATTGTATACCAAAATGTCATGGTCTCCATGGAGGTCATGAAATGCTTTGCTGACAACCGAATACATTCACCCAAGGATGCAAACGCGCGTCAGGCATTTTGTTACTTCCAATTCGATGTTCATAGCAGACATCACTAAGTCCAGCACAGCATTTTATCCAAATGTCGATGTGCTGATCTGAGAATCTATTTCAGCACAGCATTCTAGACAGCCACAACCAATCGGTCTGAGTGGGCACAGGAGATAAAGCCCATATGCCATGCCTGCTCTTGCCAAAATAGATGGGAGAACAAGAGAGCGCCTTGTCCAGTTTCTTCCCTCCTAATTCCATTTTTCTTTGGACCAAGAGGTCTTCATCTTGATTTCTTTTTCCCCAGGAGATGGTCTCACAGTCACTTTCAACTAATTCCCAGTGCGTCCCTCATTGAAGCAAACTCAGCCATGTTACAACAGACCATGGAACGTAGGAATCTCCACTAGTTCTGTCTCCAGGCTGAGCAAATCTTGTCTTCCCTGATTGGCTTAAATGCAGTGCTGGTCCCACTGAGTCAGGCTAGCCCCTTTGTCATCTTTATTGTTACATGAATTTTGAGATGGACTCATCCTGACATCTCCCTTCTCCCCCAACTTCTCTCAGTGTCTGACTTCCACAGTTAGAAAAGCATTCCTTGTGTTCCAGAGGCTTGCGAGCCCTTTAGAGGAAGCCCCACTATGGAGTGGTTGAGTCCAGTCTTGGGAGCCACTCAGGCTGACACTTGAGCCATGAGACGTTGGGTGAATCACTTCACCTCTCTTGAGATCAATTTGTACATGTGTTAAATGGATGAGCTGGAGATCTGTTTGTCTTCCCAATTTCATTTCCAGCCTGTTCTCTGCCCCAGGTGTGTGACCTCTATGAACCACTTCAATGAGCTCCTTTGTCCTCTGCCTTCTCCTTGGGTTCGTCATTGGAGAGACAAGCATGAGATTGGAGGGAGGAGAATAAGGTTGGGGTATGTAATCCTCCCTGCATCCCTCCCCAGTGCCATGTCAGGTGGGTGTTTCTCTTCCCTGCCAGGGTAACCCATCCTCATAGCCTTCTTTGTCCCCAAGTTCCCTTGTCTGTCCTTTCTTTCACTTCTGCAGTCCTAGCAGTTAGCAATCTCAGGGTCTCACACTATTCCCTGAAGTTTTCCTATATCCTGCCCACCCCTGGGAAAATACTCCCTTTATTAATCCTTCTCTAAACTATTCATATTGCTTCGGGGCTCCTGACTGACACAATTGGGCGTAAAAGACTTCGGGCTTCGGTGAAGAATAAAATAATGTAACCGAATTCCAATTTCACACATCCTATTCATGTTCAACATTTGCAATCAGATGCTGTGTTAGTTTCCTGGGGGCTGCCTTAACAAAGGATCACAAACTAGGTGGCAGAAAACAACAGAATTTTATTTTCTTATAGTTCTGAAGGTAGAAGGGGTCAGCAAGGTCATATTCCCTCTGAAACCTGTAGAGAAGAATCCTTTCCTGCCTCTTTGAACCTCTGATGGTCCCTGGCAATCCTTAGGGCTCCTTGGCTTGTAGATGCAGCATTTCAATCTCTGTCTCTGTCATCATCACACAGCCATCTTCTCCCTGGTGTGTGTTGTCTTCTGTTGAAAGGATCCCAGGCATACTGGTTTAAGCGTCCTTGTGGCTCTAGTAGGACCTTGTCTTAACTGATTACCTCTTATTTCCAAATAAGGTCACATTCTGAGGTACTGGGAGTTAGCACATCAATCTACCTTTTGGGGGGACACAATTCAACTCATTAAAGATGTCTAACAAGGTCATCAAATCTAACAGGCTCAAAATCAAGCTCTGAATTTCCCCCCACAGTCTATTTTTCTCATGGTCTTGCCTGCATCAGTCGATGGAAACTCCATTCTTCTAATTGCAGAGTAAAAGCCTGGGCAATTAGGACCCCTGAGTCCTCCCTCTCTTCCACATCTCCCATCTCGCCCCTCACTGCCTGTCCCTGTAAGTGCTGCAAAGACCATCCAGGATGGGGAAATTTAGGCTTTCCCCGCAAGATCACAACCCAGATATCCTCTCCCACTCTGCAGTGTGATGTTCTAGGCAGTGCTTTCATTTGTCTTAGTAGTGCTTTGGAAGACTCTATGTATGTGTTTTCATGATTTATTATTGTAAAATTATTGTTGTTTTACTTAAGGCAGGAGTTAAAAACACAAATGCCTGCAGAGTCCAGATGGAATATGAATTTGAGAAGCAGAAGCAGGTGGAAACATGCATACAAACTGTCTGTGAATGGTAGGGACCATGACAACAGGGGGGCATGTGACCTGTCAACTGCATGTGAGAGTCAGTCTGTAAGCATAACTACCACTGTGCCGAAATGTGGGCACAGTATGGTCAGAGTGTGTTATTCTTCAGATTGAGTTGAGATAAAGGTGGTTGTTAAAGGTTATGTGAAATCTCCCAATTTTAAATGTTGGCTCAAATTCATAAAGTTCTCTGAGGGCCAAACAAGTCATGTAGTCTGCTGGTTGAATCAATCTATAGCCTGCCTATTCCTTTTTTTTTTTTAATTAATTTTTTGGGGGGAGGGGCAGAGAGAGAGAGAGAGAGAGAGGGAGACAGAATCTGAAGCAGGCTCCATGCTGTCAGCTCAAAGTCCAACGTGTGGCTCGAACCCACAAACCATGAGATCATGACCTGAGCCAAAATCAAGAGTCGGATGCTCAACTGACTGAGCCACCCAGGTGCCCCATGGCCTGCCTATTCCTAACCTTTGACCTAAGGAAAGGTACTTTTCCTTAGGTCAGCAAATAGTTATGTGTTAGGTGAGTAGTGGGAAGTGACCTGAAGAGAAAGTAAGGAAGGAGGTGGGGAGCCATTGCCAGCAGAGGAGGGGTTAATCAGTGGAACACAATGAAGAGACCACAATGAATCTACTAAATGGATGGAGAAAAAGGAATAAAACCTACAAGGGCAAGTTAAGGGAGATCATTGAGGGCTCCCTCCAAGTATTGATACCCAGGGATTTGATTTTATCCTGGAAATCATAAGGAGCCATTAAACACATCTGAGCAAAAGAGTGACTGACACTTGGTTGCAGAAAGATTTTACAAAATCCGGGCATCCCTAGGATGTCTTCTGAAGTGTGGCACTATCTCCCTCCCTTTGATGAAACTAGCAGGCTGCCATCAAAGGATGAGTAGCAGAGGGCTGAAACCTGTGCCCAAATCAGCTTCACCACTCACTGGTTTGGCTTTGTTCTTTTCTCCTAAAGCCACTTTCTTGTCCTTCTCTCACTTGCAATGTGTAAGCCACCTCTAACGGGCCACCTCGAAGTTACTCAATATGGGTTCCAAAAGGCCTGGGACAATGAGGCTGGCTCCAGGGGGGATGGCGCTATCAGCTCCCTTGAAATCACAAGTGTAGAAAAACAAGGATTGCCTGCTAGGATAATGGCTTTAGTGTGTTCACAAAAGGAGGCCCTGGCATGAAGTCATAGGCTTGAGTTATGCAGAGGAGAGAATTCTGATTCCACTCAGGATAAGCTCAAGTGCAGCGGGGAGAGGTCGACATTTGCATCTTTCCAGTGGCCATTTGATAGGAAACCTCTACTGGGCCCCATGAGAGATTCTGGGAGGGGGCAGCTTACGGTCACATTGCTTTATCCCCACCTCAATCCC